CCCTCAGGAATTTCAAAGCCCTTTCCCAACAAGGCATCGCTCAAAACTCTACCGTCGGACGCAGAGCCTTCCCACCCCGCAAGCACGTAGACGAATCGCAAGTCGAACGAGCAGGCCGCAAGCACGTTTTGGCTGACGTATCCCTTACGGTCGCGAAATGGCTTTGCAAATACGGGTGGAGGGGTTGCTCGTATATGCGTCCCATCCAATGCGCCAACGCAGTATTCGAAGAACGGGTACATCTTTGGGTTTGAATGGATTTCGTACGGAAAGTCCTTGCTTGGAAGGGTGACCACAACGGGGTATAGTAGCAACAACGAAGCAATCACCTACGTCATAGATATCAGCAACAATAAATGCAGGATTTGTACTTCGTGAGTGATAGTCCATCCACTGCATTGGAACCGTTCTTGCGCCTCACGATTCGAAGCCGCTCGATCTGCCACGAAGAAAAAGGTAGCCAACTTTTCCTTGGCCGACACATAGCGACTTGACGACAGGGAGTACTTGCTCTGCAGAGTCGCCAGCTAAGAGTTAAACGTGCTTGGCAGCATACGCAGCTGGTTGCGAAAGCGCCTGGGGTTCCCCGTCAGCAGCTCATCGACCCATTGCTCTCCTTTGAGAGCAGACGTGTGGCAGGGCTCTTTGATCACGTGGTTTACGGCCCACCAAGCAGCGCATCCGACAAGGATTGCGATCGTTGCCATTGAAGCAAAAGTGCGCGGAATGGAGTTGGCGGTTACAAAATGGACCTCTGAGGTCCATCTTTAAAATGACGTTTTGACGCAAAAATGCCATAAATTGAAGTTGGTCCCAACTTTACCAGACACGTTCGCTCCCATTTTCAAAATGGTGTTTTGCCTGAAAATGGTGTTTCGGCCCCAAAATGGTAAAATCCGGTCCAAAATGTCATTTTCCGGATGTTGCCAGATGAGCCCTAAAGAGTATTACATTGCAATATGTACTGAGAAGTATATACATATACTATTCCAATAGCTGGGCCAATTCAACACCAGATTCCTCCTGAAGCTTGTCGCTAACAATGAGTTTTTCCAGCTGGGAGCTAAAATCACACATCTCCAGGGCTTCAGATACTTCTGCTGCCAGTTCCTCGAATTTCGCACTAACGTCAGTCTCATCCAACTGCTGGAGTCCTGCTTCAACGATGCCACGATCGACAGGAAGATCAAGGTCATATCTGAGCACATCATACGGATAATACATGGATTATCTGGAAAAAATCACTATCCGTACATCCGGATCAAAGTCAGTTTGAAATACTACTCTGGTCCGAAATAGTTGTTAGGTGCACTTTCCAATTGGCGGAATTTTTCTAAATGTCCATAATTCTGCAAGGTGATTGGTGTGTTAGAAAGCGCATGATTCCAGCTTTGATTGG